TTTTGGCAGCTCTGAGTGCCTGTTGTCATGAGGTGCAAGCTGTGGTTTTGAGACCAGGTTTGTGCTTGGCAGTTCAGGGCAGTGCTCCCAAATCCCCTTGCATCCCACTGCCAATGCTTGGTAAAGGCACTGACAGCAGCAGTGCTGAGGGTTTTATTTTACATTTGTACTGGGCAAGTTTTCTCCACCGTTTCTCCTGCAGGTTTTGAACCAGCTGGCTGATTTCAGCCTCACTCGAGAGGGCAGAGGGTCACTTGATATTAAGGTACTGTCTGCTTGTGTGGAAATGGAGTTCGATCAGAGGGAATTTCCAGATAGCCCAAGGCAGATCTACCTGCCTTTTTCAAAAGAGCACAATTATTTTAAAGTGTGAACTGTACCTTATGCAACCTGAAGTAAGGTGTTTTCTCTTACAAGGGGGTGCCATAGCTTTAAGTGTGCAGATTATCTTTTTAGGCCTTTTGATGTTTCTATCAATTTTTCCTCCTCCTATGTTATCCCATCCCTGACCCTGCTCACATCCACATGTGTCAGTCTCAGCCAGGCAGAAATGTGGAGATCTCAGTCCTCCTCAAGGGGGATGCAGGAGACTTGGGAGTCAGCCAGAGGTAACACACCAAGGAGGAGACCCATGGAAAGGAGGAGTAGCAGTATTATTGGGAAGGTTGAGTTCACCGTGACTGGGAGACAGGAACAGGAGTTGCAGGAGTGCATGAAATATCCCAAACTAGCTAGGATTCCTAAGATCAGTGACACTCAGAAGAGCCTACCTGTGTCCCAGAAGTACGTTTGAAACAGAAATCGACAAAGACCTTTGATAAATGTAAGTCTGAATTGCAAAAGCTTGTTCTAAACTAGACAGTGGTCTCACACTCTGAAAAACCCAGAGAAGTGGAGCAAAAAGCATCACATAAAAAGGCAAAAGGCATGTGAACAACATGCAGAGCAAAACTTACTTCAAAAAAGGCTCAGGGCAGCATGTGATGCCAGTGGAAGGGGTGGAGGCATCTGGGACTTTCCTCCTGCCCCAGAGGGAGGCTTTGCAGGTTTTCAGGGCAGTGTTTCTGTGCTGGTGTTTTCTTGTAAGCCTTCCCTTCCATTCAAAGGGCAGAAAAAACTTTTAGTAGATCATGAGTAGCTGGTACAATAATGTCCCCCTACTTCCATCCTTCTGTCTGTTTCAAGATCAAATTTTCATTGAAACAAGGTGCTGTAGACAGGATGAGTGTCTACAAATAGGTTCTAAACTCTCACATTAAGAGGAATGTATGTGACCAAGTTCAAACACCAATAGGAAGAAAGAAAAATTATTAAACACATAGTCCTGTTAGACACAGGAAGGTCCCCTTGTTGATTGTTGTAATCTTTGGAAGATACTTATTTACATTGGTTCCAGCAAATGACAACACATTTTCTGGTTTGGGGCCCAGTAAATGCATTTTGTTAATAGATTCCATTCATTCCATCCACTTCACATGTATTGTCACTGAATTTATGGCACAGATAATATGCATGCTTACTAGTTTCTCATTCTTTCACAATTTTCAAATAATTTAATTTATGTATTCTGTTCCCTGATATGCAGAAGAGATTTTGTTTGGGTTTTTAACCAAATCTTTGTTTGAAATACGTAATTTTTGATATAATATTCTAGGTTGACCAATAATTTATCTGAGAAAGCATTTAGAATACTGTAAAGGTTGTGAAACCTATGTAGGGTGTTTAAACTTCCAGTTTCATTTATATAACACAGTATTTAAGTCATCTGAGCCCCCAGAAGATTACCTGTATAAGTAGCAAAGGCAGACAGGATTCAGCTTTTGTTATTCAATCTCTTTTCAACATATGAAATGTTTTCCCAACAGCTGGTTATATAAAGCAAGGTTTATTGAGGTTATTTTTTTAAAGGCCAGTAACAACAATACTGTGTTTCTAGAGGTTTTATAAAAAATAATTGCTCCTTATCTGCTCTATGAAGCTACAGAAAACTATCCTATACAACAGTGCTGGCTGCTTGCATATACACTGGAGACATTTGCAAATCTTTTTATACCGCACAATGGTCCGGTTGGAAAAAATCTCCTCACTGAAAGAGTGGTTAAGTATTGGAACAGGCTCCCCAGGGAAATGGTGGAGTCCCTGGAGGTATTCAGTAAGCAAGGAGATGTGGCAGTTCTTGATATAGTTTAGGGAGCATGTGGTGTTCAGTCAAAAGTTGGACTTTATGATCTTGGAGATGTTTTCCAACCTTAATGATTCTATGAAATTTCTTGAAAGAAAAGTAGTTACAGCTTTGAGGTTAATGAACAATATTCACCAGTCATAGATGCAGACTACAGGCCTTAACTATCAAAATATAGGTGTCTTTTTGTTTTGTTTTTCATTTGTTTGGTCTTTCATTTGTTTTTTGTTGGTTTGTTTTTGTTTTTTTTGTTTTGTTTTGTTTTGTTTTCCCTTTGTTAATTGACTGGTAGGTTTAGAAATAACATCCTAATGGAAGCTGTGAGTTTTAGTATCCTAGGCAATTTCTAGAAGGAGAAGTCACAGAGCTTGAATTACAAGATAAAATATCAAGTTGCCTCCAGCCACAGACAGCAAACTGTTTTGATAAGGTTTTTGGGACAGGCTGACAGTTTAGTTCATCGACTTTGCTATTGCTTGAATTTGGGTGTTAATCTTGTTCTCTAATGAATACATCTTAGGATGTGTTTTAAAACTTGTTAGCCTGAATACCAGGGTGCACAAAAGCAGGATAAAGAGATGGGTGGTAGAGGAGAGAGGTCCTCTGCCTAAAAGCGTTAAACACATATTTACATAAAAACACAGAAGGCAGAAATCTCAGGAGACAACACTCTGCCCCTGTTTGACTTTTTTCACCAGTTTTGAGACTTCTCTCTGGACACCACATCAAAGGGCCTCAATTGCTTCCAGCTCATCGTTGCTCTTTATGATGGCAAGAAGTCAATGGGAGAAGAGAACTTTGAGCTGAAGATCCCAGCAACCAAGAAGGCCCTTGGGCTTCTAGATTCTCTATGCTCCTTACACACCTGAAGTGCTGTACTTAGCCAGCCACATCATGATATAAAGCAGACATTCAGAGAACCAGTAAATATGTAAAGCAGTTTGAAGTATGTGCCATATGAAAGTAAGCATGTCTGTGAACCTTCAAGTTCGCATTTATATTTCAAAGCAGTAAATTCAACTGTTTGCACATTTTGCAATAAAAAATTGGAGGCATACATGTACAAGGAAGGACTTGGAGTAGATGTCTTGAGTAAAACATCATCTTGGAAGGTGTATCTGCAAGCACAGAAAGAAGGTGGGTATTTTCAAATCTGAACTGCACATGTCCAGCTTTATATGAGGTACTTTATTTTGCAAGAGAAGACTGCTGAATTTTCTGAAATTTACTTTCTCCCTCATTCCATAGCCTTTTAAAATTTTCCAGATAGACCTGGCTTCTGGGTAGGAAGTAGAAACCATATTGTTTAATACTGGTGACCAGTCATGCAGCATATTTGAATCCTGAACAAAAATACTTGGAGATGTTGGTACCATTCAGCAACCCATGGCAAAAGAAAATATTTTATTGAACCTCTTCACCACATGGTCATCAGAAAAGACTGTAAGAAATGTTACCCATCTGTGGTCAGAAGTATCAAATACAACAAATTATGCTTACTGAATACTTCAGTTACTGTACTTGGCAGTGGATTTTCTTTAACTGCAGGAAAGCATTACAAATGAAATCTTTAGATGATATGTAAACCAATTGTGCAATACTGGACTTTTTGTTCCTCAGATCCCGGTCCCAGATTTACTGTGCCTATCAAAAGATGCATTCTATTAAGAAAACAGAAAATGTGAGCAGTTCCTAACTACAGAAGACAGCATAGCAGATAAGATATTTAGAATGAAACCACCATGAGACAACTGCAGTTCCAGCAAGATTTGGCTCAAGGATCATGTGGGAAGCATTTACCCTGCCAGACCAGTGATGAAAAAGAGACAGAGGGTGAGGGGGGACACAAGTTCCAAGTCGTGAATCACCCCTCATGTTGGCCAAAGAGCCTGCAGACAGAAATAGGAGGGAAGCGACCAGTGAGGCTGAGCTCTGCAACCTTACTTTACCTGTTCCCACTTGGAAGAACTCTGCTTGTTTCCCTTTCTGAAATTTGCCTTTTCATACAGCATTTGCCATCATTAATTGGAGCATCTCCCTTCTGCATCCTAATCAAACAGTGCTGGCAAAGAAGAATCATTATCACCAGCAGTGTTGGACATGTGCTGGCCAATTCAAGCCATGAATTGCTTGCCTCAGGCCTGGCAGGTAGGAGTCTCCATTTAATTTTATTCAGAATAAAATTACTAACAGCAATGAAGCATATGTAGACCATCCAGAAAAGGAAACTGCCCCTATTGCTGAGAGAGAACTCAGTTTCTGTTTTTCCCTCAAGTACATTTAAAACATTGATACTTTCTCCCATGGGAGGAATATACCATCAGGTAAAAGATGGCAGCAAACACATTAAAATTGGTGCTACACCAAAAATCAAGAGGTGAAAACCAGCTGAGAAACAGTTCAAAGTCAAAACTGCCCACATCCAGCAGTGCCCCACATCTTAGCAAGTATATCTTTCAGTCAGAGAGTTCCTACTTCAGGGCACAGGTACTCCATGCCAGACCCAAATGTCCTACAGCAGAAGTCAGCAAGGAGTGGGATTTTGGCCAAACCTGCAGTCCAAATACATGTCAGCCACAAACAGGCTTCCAAGTTGGGGTTGTAACGTTCCCCAAATGTAGAACAGAAATGAGATTTTGCTACCAGAAAATGTTGGGGGCCTGGGCTGATTTATCAGGGAGCTGCACTCAGTGAACTTCCCTAGAATTTCATTCCAACAAGGGGTCTGCTTTTCACCCCGCCTCCTCATCCCTAGAGAAACAACTGCGGAAAGCAGGAGCCTTTGCAGCAAGCCTGATCCTGTGTCGCAAGAGATGGAGTCACCTGCGTGTGCGTGTGTGTCACTGTGCCCGTGTCCAAGGCAAACAGCGCGCTTCCCGGAGTGCCCGGCCAGCGGGGAATGCGGCGGGGCGGCAGCGGAAAGCGGGCGGGGAATGCGGGGCTGTGCCCGGCTGGAGCGGAAAGCGGGCGGGGAATGCGGGGCTGTGCCCGCTGTGCCCGGCTGGAGCGGAAAGCGGGCGGGGAATGCGGGGCTGNGCGGAAAGCGGGCGGGGAATGCGGGGCTGTGCCCGGCTGGAGCGGAAAGCGGGCGGGGAATGCGGGGCTGTGCCCGGCCGGGCTGCGGGAGCCGCTCCGGGAGCTCCGTCCTGCGCTCCGCGGCACCAGCGGCGCACGGAGGCGGGGGAAGGGCAGGGAAGGTTTTTCCCCGGAATTTTATCTGTCTGGCAGATACCAAGCCCAGCATCCGTGTGTTCTGGGAGGCTCAGATAGACGTGTTCCACCACTGAATCAGTCCGCAGCTGCTTGGCCGCTTGAGCCGACTGGAAAAGTTCAAAGGGTATTTTCATAAAATATAATGGTTAATATAAAAAAATAGCTTTTCTCCAGAAAAATATGTTGCAGATTGGGTGAAAGTCATGTTTCTTTCCTTTTTCCATTTCTCTCCCTTTTAGCAATGCTTATACACGTCTTCTGCAGTGGGGTTCCCATCACTGAAGTTTTAGGCAACTTCCATCAGGCATTGCTGTACTGGGACTGGGCTAGGACAGCAGGCAGCAAGCCAGCTTTCTGGGATAGAAGCATTCCCCCTGGAGAATGGAGGGAGGAGAGGACAACATGCCTCTCTACTTGTCAGCATATAGTGATTTAGATAATGATAAGGCATGCTGAAGAAGTGTGGATGTCTTTTCATCTAAGCTTATTAGTATGGTGTGTGTGAAATATTGGCTTTAGTGAGCTACGCTGGCTCTGGATGGAGGGTAGAAGATTTTGCAGTGCTTCTGTCTAGCCTGTTTATCCATCCAGGCTACCTGCAGGAAAACTTATTTTAAGGTGGATTTATGAACCAAGATGCCACCCCCTTCTTGCAAAGCTCAGTAGCTACTTGATTGCTTTTTAGTGTGAGAGTTCAGAAAAACATTCTTAAATTATGATGTCTCCAGAGATTTGTAGTAAGAAAACAATGTTAATTTGCCCAGTCTACAAGCAAAAAGATTAAAAAAGACTAAAGTACACTGTGTTCTTTGTTCCAATTACCTGAAATTAGTGTCTTTGTTGGAGATAAGTGCCATAAATGGCTTTAATATTTTTAGGTTTTTCTCTCATTTTGGAGCAGTGCTGTACTGCTGCCACAGCACTGCTGCACCACACAGCACAATCCACCTATTTACACTTTTTAATGAGCAGTGACTCTACTGTAGCTGTTGCATTAGCTGTGCAACCATGATTTCATTTCCAAAGGAGAGTGTGTCATAATAAGCTTCTAGAAAAGTTCAAGACAGCTGCCTGTGTCATGGAAAAAATAAGACTTGATTAACAGAGGATGTAGGAAGCCAAAGTAAATACTAGAAATGTGTAAAGCTGTTATGGTGGTGTAGATTAGTTCATATGAAGGGATGTGTAAATCTGACTGCTCAACATGATTGATTCTTACGTCGAAAGGGAAGTCATTGTGTTATTATGTTTTTAGTTGTAAGTCCCTGCTGACAGCACTGGAGGTGTTTCAATGTCCCACTCAATTAAAAATCTCAAAGATTGTGAAGAGTTGAGTCTGCGTTGCCATTTTTCCTGGACTTCAAATATGGGAAGAGAAGTAGCAAGAGAGGAAATGCTAAACTTTGAAGACTGTGTCCGACAGCAAAAAACATTGGTGTGTACACGCAGCACTTCTTTGTTGAACCACATATCTTGTGTTTAAAAAATATCCCACCATGAGAGGTAGATGTGATGGTAGCTGGGTGACAGGACCATCTAGAAGGCAGGAGGAGAGCTCTGTGAGCCCATGAATCTTGCAATGCCTTTCAGATACTCTCACCTCTCTCACATTGCAGACAAGTGGGCGAAAAGCTGCAAGTTACTTAAATCAGTCACTGTGACACATCCAGTTAGCTTGGTTATGAAGAGAGCATGAATTATGATATTCTACTCTGTCATTTAAAGATAAATGTTTTATGGCAAAAATCCCATTATTATGTGTACATTTTTAAAAGAAAGATTGTGTTTTGTTTTGGGTCTTTTAGTTTGCACAGTTGAGGTTATTTGATGGGGTATTTTGTTGGTGGTGATTTTTTTTTACAGCAATTTTAGGAATTTTTGTCTTGCTAAGAGGTAGGTCCAAGTTGTGGTTAAATCCTGCAGATGATAGTCTTGCTGATCTCAGGATTTTCCAAATATTAAAATGCATGTCTGGATTTCTCAAAACCCCACAAAACTTCAAGAACATTAGACCCATTTCACCTTTCCCTAGATAACCAAGATGGCCATAAACTGCTTGAGTGTCCTGGTCCTAGCAAGATTTCATGTAATAGACAGTCTCTTGAATAGCTCTTGGTGACTTATTAGCTCTTCAGGTATTATATTTTAGCAAATAAAATTAAAGTTTTCCCCTAAGCTTTTGCTTAACTACAATAAATCATTTATAAGGTGCAATCCTATGTTATGCAGATGTTTTTTCCAGTCATGTTGTTTTATAAAAAATGTCATGTAGGGGAGTTCTGTATAGAGATGTGTATGAAGTCAGAGCAAAGAAAAATAAATCTTCCAGTAAACCCTGTCACTCTTGTGACTATGATCACTGTGCCATCCTCAGCACTGCTTCCTACAGGAGCCTGAGGCCAAGGCTGGAGGTTGGTACATGCCAATCCAGTGCTGCACGGCACCAGATGTGGGCTGGTCTAGATGGGAATTAGTTTTAGCAGAATCAAATGGAGTCCTTACCTAGAGAGAAGTCTGAAGTGCTCATGCACTATTAAGTTCCTGGCAAATTTTTTGCAATGTAGATATTTACACTCAGGATTTGTACATACACTTACACTTGGGGTTGTAGATACAGTTACGGTGTAACAAATATCCCTACCTAGACAAGTAGTCAGAAAAGAACAGGGTAAGCACAGGAACACTAAAAGAACAAAATAAGTGTCCATGTGCCTTCTTGAGTGAAGTCTGGAGGGTTTTAGTGTGCATGTGTCTTTTTCTTTATTTACTTAAGATGGTTTAAGTTTCTCAAGTGGTAACTGCAAGCCTTGGGCAGCAGAAATACACTTGCTGAAGTATGCTTGTCCTGCATTAGGACAGCTGACTGGCCCCATGGCAAGATATTTTTTATTTTCAGGTGAAGCTTCTGGCTTTGGCCCACCCTGGCATTTTGTTTATCCTCTGTAGAAGTCTGTATATTTTGACAACATGGGTCATTATCTTTCCTCTTGTGGTTTCAGCTTTTTTTCTTGCTTTTCACTTGGGAGTTTTCCTCTTCTAGTGGTTCTTCTCTCTTTTCAGCAAGCAGTTTCTGCAGATCTGCAGGTGAATTCTAGTCTTTCTGTATAAACTCATTCCTTTTATTTAATCAGTTATGTATTTTTCAGTCCTCGTTCCTAAGATGAACATCCCAGATTTGTGGTTTGTGAAGGGTTTTGGCTAGTTGCTTATTAGGTTTGTTGGAGCAGGGAGGGGAAAGGAGGGATGGAAGGAATCACATCTCCCAGGGAAGGTGCTGTTACTAATTATGCCTTGGAGATTATTACTTCATGGCTCAGATATAATTAGTACTTGCTCAAACTCCTATGTGCTACTTAGGACAAAAGAAAGATTCTCTTTCACTATGACCCAAAAAGCCAGCTGTTACTTCAAACATTCATTTGTAGGGGTTCTGGAATTCTGTAATTCTTATGAGTCCTAACAGCCCTTGAACCCCCTCCAACAGCTGCCATGCCTGCAGCCCTCCTCTGGCCAAAACTTTGCCACCTATAGTGGTACAGAGGTGCAAAGGAATACTTTTAGGACACCTCTTACTGTTGGATTCTGGTTGTCTTTTGAGAACTCCTTAGAAATGTATGTTGTAGAACAGGATTTTTAATCTTGCCCATGTCTTTTCCATGTCAAGTTGGCAAAAGCTGGAGGTAGAGGGTAGTGCAGCACAGATCATTAAGATAATGGGGACATGGCTCAGAGACAGAGAAGCTCTGGGAGAATGATAAGAAGACCTCTGTCTTACCTCAATTATTTTATTTGTTTCTCTAATGCTCATGTTTCACCAATTCAGATCCAGTGCTGGAAGCAATACTAGGTGCCTTCTGGTGACAAGAAGTGTGTGCTGTGTGAGCTTTTCAGAAAATAAAGGTGTTGAGTCAAAATCCACTGAATTGGTAAGACTCATTCCCAAATCTTCAGAGAGCTGCAGATCCCCAGTAGAATCTGGGCTGGAGTTTAGACAGCCTATGCCCAAATCTGCATTCCTCTATCCTCACACAGCTGCTTGACTGGATGACTTGGTGTTACCAAGCTAGCGGAAGCTCCTGCCTTTGGGCATGCCCAGAGGCATATCAGCTTCAGGAGAACTGAGCCGCTCAGTGCCAGGTCTGTCCTGCAGCAGCAGAAGCAGCTCTTCCAGATTGCATCTGCAAAAAGGCTGCTGTAGGCTACTGCCTTTGTTTGAAGTACAGCAAGGATGCTGCTGCAGCTCCTGTTCTCCTTGCCCCACCACACAGGGTAAGGATGCTTCCCTACACCAAGCCTGGTCCTCTCATCTTTCATATTCTTTCTTTCAGCTAACAGATTCAAGGAAGCTTTCCCATTCTCTGGGGCACGTCTGAACTTCCAGGGTTGTGTATAACTGCTTTGCAGTGGGTACAATCCAGATTTGTAGAGTTAGAAGTATTAATCAAGAATCTGTGAAGTGCAGTGAGCAAGGCAAGTGTGTGAAAGGTGGAAGAGCATGATTTCACTGCTTCTGCCAGAAAACATTCCTGTGGCTTGTGCCTACTTTTCATGAAAGATATAAACAGACCTTGGGGTGACAGTCACTGCCTAAAAGCTCTGGAGAAGTCTGTGTGTCCCAGTGGCATTGTATACAGGAAATCTACAGGAATGGCATTTGCACTCCCTGTCCCAGTGTAAAGCTTCAAAAGGACATTTCAAGGTCCACAGAGAATTTGGCTTCCAATTCATTATTAGGTAAATTATACCCACATGGAGAAAGCTGTTTCATGTGTTTCAGGGCTGTTTTTCACAGTGGGAGTCAATGTGCTGTTTCCCAAGGGTTCAGGAGGCATGGGCCAAACCCATGGACATGGAACACCTTGTACCTCACTAAAATGGTGATAGTAATTACATAGCTCATGGGAAGGGCTCATATAACACTGGAAAGGAGTTACTGGTACTTATTTCTTAGCTGTCGGATTTTATACTGCCTGGTAGAAGAGATGAAGCATAACAAATTAATTCTTCATTGTTAGAGGCCAGAAATGTTAGGTCGATTATGCTTTACCACCAGCTTCAGTAACACAAGCCACTTTATTTGGAGAAGAATAAGTTTTGTGCCTATTAGCTGCTGCCACTTGTGCACATGAGACTGATGTCAGCCATCGACTTCACATCACCAGCTATGACATATATACACCTTCTTGAAAGGCAGAGTTTGAAGTGGTCATTTAAGCTCTATCTATATTCTTTATTTCAAATATTAAGGCCACCATAATGCCGTATGTATTACTTCAGAGGATTGCAGATCACACCACAGAGTGTTTTATAAATGATTTCTCTTCAACATAGCCTTATATTGTCAGGCCAATTGCTTCTACAGTCCTACTTC